CACACACACACACACACACAGAGAGAGAGAGAGAGATTTTCAAATCGAAACAATTACATAGACATTCATTGAATTAGAAAAAATTGAAAATATCTATCACTCTTTTTACAGGAGGCTGGTTAAATTAAGTATGACATTTCCATATGGTGGAATATTATACAGCTATAAAAAGAGAATTAGGTCATTTCTCATTTTTGTTATAAAATATCTCTAATCTAGATTTCTAAAAAAAAAAAAAAAGCAAAGTGGTGAGGTGCATGCAGTTATGCTAAATACACATATAGATGTGCATATGTTTTTTGCAGAAATTGTGAAATATAAATACATATTAAACATATGTAAAGTGGTTATGTTGGATTGAGATGGGTATAAATGGAATAGATAGAAATAAAAATACGGTATAAGAAATAATTTCTCTAAAAACTTTGTGTTTGGGCTTTATGTTGATTTCCAACCAACTTCACTATATCATCTATTCTCAAATTAAAAACAAACAAAACAAAAAGCCTTCTTCAAATGAAAAAAAAAAAAAGAGAGATTGTTATAACCATAGCCTGAATAAGAACCTCAGGCACCTGAACATTGTAAGTCAGTGCCTGTCCTTACAGGAATATCTTGACTGCAAACTCTTCTGCAAAGAGAATGTCACTTCACAGTAAGATAAACAGAAGAAATAAATCCTGACCCTAGATAGACAACCCATCAAGATGTAAAAGTGTGGACATCCAAACATGTATTTCTCCTGCTCAAAAGCCCTGTTGTTACTTATATCCAGGTCTGCTCTGTTTATGATCTCACACCATCTTTCGATACTTCTATCTAACAAAGCTGGAGAATTCAGACTGCCTTGGAATTCTCTGACACTCCATGTTTTTATGCTTTGACACATTTCCTTCCTGTCCCTTGGAATGTTTCTCATCTTCCTAATGCCAGATTTCCCTGAAAACTACCACAAAGATTTCCTCCAAAACTGTCCAATTCCCAGAAAGGATGAGATCAGATGATACAACACCTACAAAATTCTCTAGTTTATGGCCTGGCAAATAACAGGAATGCAAAAGTGCTGGATGAATTTCTGAACCTTAACAGAGCATTCTTTGAATTTTCTTGTGGTACTTGACAAATTTATTTGCATCATAATTATTAAAATAATAGTCACTCTAGATTATAAGCTTTTAGAAGTCAAATGTTATGAGGAGTTGTCACACATACAGTAGCTGTCGAAAAATAATTTTATATTTAGTTTAATTGAAACTCATGTTTCAATCAGATCCACCTTTAAATTTAAACTGTATTTTTGTATGAGTGTGGAATTTGAAGAAGTTGGGAAATAATGATTATTTAAAATGTGACCATATGTGACCCTGTAGTAGAATTCTGAGGCTTTTGTCCTTTCTTTTGGGGAAAGCATTTTAATTTCTACATCAGGAGATCCCTCTTTTCAGCAGAGAGCCCAGGTGCTGCATCTGTAGCCCATCAATGCACCAGTGGGCCTGTGAGCTAGGCACGATCACACAGAGTGTGCACTCAAGTTCAGTAATCGTTCAGCTATGGTCATGTGATCCAATTCAGTCCCATCAGCTCTAAATCTGACACTTTGTTGTGGTGACTGGGTAAAGGCATTCTTTCCCCACAGTTTGCTGAAAGGATCAACTCAGTAGGTACTTGACAATTTGGTGACAGCTTCCACCAGAGACTGCTTACAGTACAGTGAAAAGAGGTGCTGAGGAATGAAAAAAATGAGACCTAATCCTGATAATCTTGTGTGAGCTCCTGGATCCAGCCATTCCCGACTTTGTTGTCCTTGGACTTTTCACACATAAAATACTATCTCTTTTGCCTAGGCTAGTTTGAACTCATTTTCTATCATTTGCAAACAAATAAGTTTTTCCCATTCTAAGCTGAAATTTGGAATACTTACAAGAACATTTTAAAGTCTAATTATGTAATATTTATTGTACAGTGTAAAAAAAATGCTTCTGGTATCCAAAGAGTATCCAATGACTTTTAAAATACATTTATTAAAATTAATTATGATAAATACCTTTTTAAAATTATACTATAAGTTCTGGGGTACATGTGCAGATTGTACAGAATTGTTACATAGGTATATACATTTTCTAAGTGTATGGGAATATCAAAATTATCTGAAAATGTAGTGCAATAATTTTTTTACCTGCTGTAAGAAAGGTGTTTATTTCTTCAGGAATATCTTAAAGAGATGAATACATCTCTGGGATGGATCCTTCATATGAGACACTTTCAGAAATTCTGTGTTTAAATACCACAGGCAGGACCAATGGCTAACAAAACACTCTCTCTCTAAAGTCTTCCCCTAACCATTTACCATGGCATCAGTCTCCTCACTTGAGATCCAACATTTAGCTGATCCTTTTGGCCCTGTCTGCTGAGAGAACATATTAAAATTCCACTGGGAGGAGAAGGAGAGGCCTGGCTAGAAAGTCAAAGCTCTGTAGCCTTCTCCTGTAAGTGTGAATTATTATTATTATTATTTATATATATATACTTTATTGCATTGTAGGTTTTGGGGTACATGTGAAATACATGCAAGATTGTTGTATAGGTACATACATGGCCATGTGGTTTGCTGCCTTCCTCCCCATCACCTATATCTGGCATTTCTCCCCATGTTATCTCTCCCCAACTCCCCACCCCCTACTGTCCCTCCCCTAGTTCCCCTCCACAGACCCCAGTGTGTGATGCTCCCCTCCCTGTGTCCATGTGTTCTCATTGTTCAACACCTGCCTATGAGTGAGAATTATTTTTATTAGATTCCCTAAGTGCTGGAAAATGGGCTGAGTACATTTTAAAAAATCAGTTGAATGGAAGAAGCCATTGAATGGAAGGATCTGTCACTCTAGGTACCAAGGCTATGAGACCCTAAATTAGGAGCAGAACAGTCTGCTCCAGAAGAGAGTATTAAAAAGGAGCAACAGGAGGAATATCAAGGAAAGATTTTCTCCTTCTTGGATTTTGCTGAATGCTGGCCCCAACTGAAAAATAATGACATTCTCTGAGCAAATCAGCTTTAATATGACTTTCAAAATGAAATCTTCTATATTATTTTCATTTCATCAAAACTTGTTTCTGACTCAGCCACTTAAAACATATAAAATAATAGAAAACTATATAACTTACTTGCAATTAACTATCTTAAAATTTTCTCTGTACATTACCTGTATTTACAAACAATTCTCAAGGTATTTTAATTTACCTATCATCTTTACTCATTGATCTTTCTAAATTCATGTCAAGCTCTTTTCAATTAATTCTTAATTTTAAACGTATTCTGTAAAATACGTATATATTAATTTAACAGTTTTTGCAGGAAACACTCATTTTTTACAGGGAATTTTTTTTAAAAAACATTAAACAGTTAAAAAAAATTTTGTGGACTTTTCTTCAATACCACATGTTTATCTGCATATTCATTCTTGCTAAGGTGTAAGTATTGCATGTGTTTATTCATGTGATATTCTTTTATAATAAAATGAAATAAAGTAATAACATATGAACCAAAATTATCTGAATTATACAGCTTCTATAGATGCAGAGGTTCAGAACCACAATATTGAAGACAGATTTAAATAATGCTTTCCATTGTGAGGAAATGCAACCAATTGAAAATCTAATCAGAATATCAAAGCAAATACATATTACCAGGGTCTTTGTACACTCCAGCAATAAAAAAATGTATTGAACACCAAGTCCTAATCTCTATTTTTCTGTGATCATTTTAATAGTCAACAAGTAGCTAGCTTCAGTATTGACAATTGAAGAGGTCTTAAAATGGAGTGTGCTAGTATGCCTAATAATTTCCTACTAAATTGACCATGTCAAAATACATTTATGTGTGTCTTTCAATAGAAGACAATAAAAGAAAAGAAAATTGTTGTCACTTATCAACCCTGTAACCATTTTTTAATAACAGAAAAAAATAGGTGTTGTGGGGGCCATCACGTCTCCCATCCAACAACACAATAAAAATAATATTAGGGAAGAATGGATCATATCTTGGGCTGTTATTAAAATTCTTTCAAAAATCTACAGTCAGATTTATTTCAGGTATTTGTCTCTGAGATTAGCAATATTTTGATGTTTTCTGCACATATGTTACCGTATACAAAGACATTCTGTAAAAGCAAGAAGTCAATATAAAAGAAAATTACTTGTCAGCTTATAACTAACAAATTCTTTTCATTTCTAAGGTTTATTATTTTGGAATATTTCAAATAAGGAAAATTATATAATTACATAAATAACAAAAGTATACCTCTAATTTGCCTCTCTTCTGAGTAACCTTCAATGAAATCAGCTGTGACTTATTTTTTAAATATAAAATTTTATTTATGAATTAGAAACTTGACCTCATTTCACCCTATATCTTAAATGAAATTTAGACAAAAATTTTAAGTATCACGATAGAGGGTACTTCTTTACATTTTAAAACCTCCTTGCTTTTTTCCTAGCTATTTAATTAGCTACATATTTGCTAATCTTTTTAAGGGGTTTTAATGCTAACATTAATACAATGCTTTAAAGTGAGTATCTTTCACACTGAAATTCAAGATATTTCTCATTGTTATGAAGTGACTTCTCTTTCCATATTTGGATGTTGAACAATACATATTTTTATAAGATAGTTGGCTAAAGGTGCAAAGTCTTACATTATTTCTAGTAGTTATTTTTAAATGCACTTCAAACTAAAACTTTATACCTTATTCTGTCTTTAACATTTTATCACAAAATCTTAGCAAATCATCCTATTATAATATTTTAGTAAAAGACAGTGAAATTTGACAGCTGCAAATATGAATAGAACCTTCTTTTCTACACCAAAGGAAACCAGCCGATGTTTTAATCATAGGTAAAAGCATCATGTTTTGTAGAAATGTTTATACCTTCACACCAAAACGTAGGAAACTCTGCCAAACATGTTCAAGTTTAAATTTCATGTACAATATAAAGTTAAAACTTACCTTTTCTCAGCAATGACCTGTTATTGAAACTGCCATCAACTCCGGTTAATGACTCTTTCAACAAAAACGGAAAACAGTAAAGTCACATGTCGTAAGAGTAGGCCTGTGTTGGATGCTGCTTAATTTCACTACTGGGGGAAGAAAAATGTGGGGGGTGGGGTGAGCACAAAACTTTTAAATAAAACCACTTCCTGGGTAGAGACTGTTAACCACACACATCACATCTTTACTCAGTTTGAAGAAATTGCCTTGTATAGTCAACAATATTGTTATTTTTCAATGTGATTATCAATTTTCGAACATGACACGTACAGAGATTTAATCAATTTTGACTTAAAGAAGGAAAATGTTGATTAAAAATTCATCAGTGGGAGGAGCAGACTGCTAAGCACTGAAGAAACTTCCCCTTTTTCTGCCTTCTAGCAAGGGCTTGAAAACAAAGCATCTGCTCTGCTGGCTAAGCTTGAGATGTTCCCCTGTCCTCAGGACACTCTGCATATTGACTTTGGGAGGCAGGAAGCCACCTCCAATTCACAGAGCTGGTGCTTCTGCCTCATTCATGAAAGGATCCGCCAAAACCTGATCCAGTTAACAGGTTCATGGGGCCTTGGGTGGGTTGCATTAGAACTTCAGAAAACACAGCCCAGAGCCACACTGCCAGCTGAGCATCTGGGAAAAAGGAAGATGTTCATCACGCTGGTTGAACACATGTTGTGGCATTTGCTCTGACTGTGGCTCTTATACAGATGTGTCCACTCTGGCAGTTTCCTGAGCAGTTCTGAAATCTGCTGAGGAGCTTTTGCTTTAGCTGAATGATTCTTTGTGTGGTCTATCTTAAAAATAAAAAAATATATATATTATAATAAATCCAAATGGTATTATTTTGGCATGCTGCTCTGTGCCCTCCTATGTCAAACTTCAACCAACCCAAGACACATTTTTAAGGGATCTCAGAAATAACTCTAGGATGTGCATCTTTATTAAGCCATGGAGTTCAAGAATAAGCTCCTGGATTTTCAGGCTTGGATGGTTTTGTGATTTTTGCAGCATAATCACAAAAGGAAAAGAGAAAATGCTTTCCTTCCAAATATATGAGATAGTTAAATCGCAATCTCTTGTCATACAAACCAATTAGACTAGAAATCTGTGTAATAGAGCTCAGTGGTATAGAATGTTTGCCATACAAAAAGTCAATCTTTAAACATAGATTTGGTGGATATGGCCCAAGTTAGGGGCAGCATGTTCCTACCAGTTAATTTAATTTCTCTGGGTTTTTTTCAAAAAATCACATTTCTGATTGACCCTAGAATTCACTGTCAGTTGTCATTCCAGGAAGGGCCTTTTTAAGCATTTAGAGTCCTGAAGATTTTTACTGAATGCTTCTCCTTCACACCAAAGAGAAAATGGAAAGTGCATAATATTAAAAGTGTTGATACTGCCTAAGAAGCATCAGAAAACTTCAGCGCGTTCTGCTTGATTTAAGCCTTTGTACATCTGAGTCAGGCTCAGAAGTCTAGGACAAGGAAAATAAATTAGTTCTTTTTTTTTTTTTTTTTTTGAGTCAGAGTCTCACTCTGTCACCCAGGCTGATGAGCAGTGGCGTGATCTCGGCTTACTGCAACCTCTGCCTCCCAGGTTCAGGTGATTCTTCTGCCTCAGCCTTCTGAGTAGCTGGAATTACAGGTGTGAGCCACCGCACCCAACCAGGCCTTTCCTTTTAAGCAGATACTAATATTAGCCATCTGACTGGGAAAAATATAAAATACCAATATACCTTTATGGTGATAAATTTAAATTCCTACTTAAGGGTGACACAATATTTTTTGTCATCAACAACTAGTCAATTAACAAAGACAAGAGCCCATTTTCTTTATATGAGGTAGAAGGTGAGCCCCTTAGGCAGTGTGATATGCCTTGATTTGATTTATTTCCTTCCTTCCTTCCTCTTTCTTTCCTTTCTTTCTTTTCTCTTTCCTTTCCTTTCTTCCTCCCTCCCTCCTTCCTCCTTCCTTCCCTCCTTCCTTTATTTTCTTTCTTTCTTTCCTTCTCTCTTTCTTTCTTTCTTTCCTTTCTCTCTCTCTCTCTCTCTCTCTCTCTCTCTCTCTCTCTCTCCCTCTCTCACTCTCTCTCTTTCTTTCTTCTTTCATTTTTTGTCAAAGTCTCATTCTGTCACCCAGGCTGGAGTGCAGTGGCATGATCTTGGCTCAGTGCAACCTGCACCTCCCAGGTTCAAGTGATTCTTGAGTCTCAGCCTCCTGAGTAGCTGGGATTACAGCCATGCACCACCACACCCCACTAATTTTTGTATTTTTTTTTTTTTTGTAGAAACAGGGTTTCACCATGTTGGACAGGCTGGTCGTGAACTCCTGACTTCAGGTAATCCACCCACCTCAGCCTCCCAAAGTGCTGGGATTAGAGGCTCAAGCCACTGCACCTGCCCCAGGTTTGATTTCTAAAAAGAGATGTACTCACTATGATTGAAGCTATACATCAGTACCTTGACACTTGTGGCTTGATATGTTCACTGTTTTTAGTAGCTAAGATTTATTGAATGTTTGCCATAAACCAAACATTGTACCAAGCACTTTACATTCATTCTGCCTTTCAATCCTCACAATAAATTTGTGAGCTAGCCAATATTACTGTATTCTTTTTACATATGAAGAAACTGAGATTACTTTGTTGCCGAAAACAGTAAGGAGTACAGCCAGGAGTCAAACCCAGAAGCTCTGACCTCAGAGCCCTTTTTCTAAATTACGGTGCTAGCTCCTAACTACTTACTAAGCAGCACAACTCTAAGTCAATAGTCCTCAGGAAATATTTTACTTCTGATATTCCTTTTGCCTCTTCACTGACTAGAATGATAAACTTAGCAGGAATCATTTCTGGGAATCATGAAATAAAGTCTCTCCAAAATTCTCTGAAATCAAAGAAATTAAAAGAAGATCAGGATAAACAGAAATTTACTATGTTCATAGATTTTAAAAAACAGTGGAAATGCATCAATCTACTCAAGTTATTCTACAAAGAGATTCAATAAAATCATAATTATAATTCCAACTGGACTTTTTGAAGAATGCAAAGAGCTCCTTCCAGAATTTCCTAGAAGAACAAGTGTCCAAGAATACCTAAGCTCATTTTGAAACAAAAAAAGCAAGGACTGTTGACTTGCCCTGTTAGATTGACATGATCCAAAATCACAGTATTAAAAACATTTCAATGCTGGCCCAAGGAACAGCTCAGAAAATGACTGTATTTATTTGGGAACTTGATATATGACAAAGATAGCTCATAGATAAACAAAAAGGACAGATTTGTTTTAATAGATAGTATTGGTAAGACATATTTACTAAATAGAGGATAATAGATTAAGGCTTCGACATTAGATCACTTGCAAAGATGGACCTCACATGGATAAAAGCACAGTTGAAAGGTCAAAACATGCTGTTGATACAATAACATGATGGAAAATGTTTTTGCAAAATGGAACTTTCTTAAACAGTATCCGTACATTAGAAAGAAAAAGAGCAAAAAAAATGTTTATTTCACTATACAATAATTATATATTTCTGTTAAAGAAATAAGTAGACAAAGATTATAGAAAAATGAGAGACTAGTAGTAAATACCTATATTTACAAAAGATTTATTACAATAAGAAAATGAGTTGAATAAGTCAGTCAATAAATAATAGGATTGTCCTGATATCCAACAAGTGTGTGAAGAAATGTACAAGCTCTGCAGTGATCACTGTAATACAAGTTAAGTCGGCTCCCATTGAAATGGTAAAAATCTGGCTGAGAATGTATAGAAAAAGGAACTCTCATACATTTGCTGGAGGAACTGTAAACTGAAACCATTCTGATAAGCAGTCTGGCAAAAATGAACAGAATTCAATATATTCATGCACGGTGTTCCAGCAACCCAAATCTGGTGTTAATATATGGTCCACATAAATTTATCACACAGAGTTGTTTTTCCTCCTTTAGCACCAGGAGTTAAATGATTTTGGTGTTGGCTCTTGTGACTCAGGTAATATTTACCTGCATTGTGTCTATGTGATTGCATATGGTTAGGGAGAAAAACAGGAGTTTCTAGTTCCTCTGAATAGATGGTGTGAGTTGGACACTAAAGGAGACTAGAAAAGGGAGGAAAGACTTGACCTAACCTGAGAAAGAGTTAGATTTCCCCTGACAAGGATGAGAGAGAGGGATGGGTTTCTCTACCTGGAGGAGAGCTATACTTCACTCTCAAGCAGCTGCCCGGCGCTGGCAAAAGCATTCATCTGGAGGGAGCAATCTACTAACTTATTGAGCACTTACTCTATGCCAGGCAATATAGTAGAATTTACATGTATTGTTGTTATAGATTTGCCCCCCACCCAAAATTTATACGCTGAAATCCTAAGTCCCAAGGTAATGGTACTAGGAGGTGGGACCTTCTGTGGGGTCAGTAGAACATGATGGTGGACCTCTCATAATTGGAATTAATGCTCTTCTAAAAAAGAGCCCGGGGAGCTAGCTCACCCCTTCCCTTGGAGGAGACAGTGAGTAAGTGCCATCTACAAGGAAGGGGAACCTCACCAGGCAGAGTCTGCAAGCATCGTGATCTTTTACTTCCCAGTCTCCAGAACTGTGAGAAGTAATTGTTTATCATTTTTAAGTGACCCAGTTTGTGGCATTTTTGATATAGCAGCCTGAACAAACTAAAACAACTATATCTTACATACTAGTTAGGAAAATAATATGAATAAACAGAATACACAATAGATTAGGTAGTAATGCTGTAAAGAGAAAAAAAGAAAAGCAGTGAAATGGGTCATGAAAGGATGAAGTATAAAACTTTAAGCTGTGTGAAAGAGGTCTCACTAAGGAAAATAAAGGCCTAAGAAAAGTGAGGGAACAGGCCCTGCAAAATTATGGATGGGGTGGGCTGCGTTCCAGGCAGAAGGAATAGTAGGTGCAAAAGCCCTGAATGAAGATTGTGTCTGGCATGATTGAAAAGCTGCATGGGGGTGAGAGTGACTCAAGTGGAATGAGAAGCAAGGAGCACAGGGACTCACGTCAGAGGAGTAATAGATGGCTGAACCACGTGGACCCCCTTAATATTTTTTAAAAAACCTGGATGAAGAGGAAAAATG